AGGTGGCATGTGACCCGAATATATCCCGCGGCATTCCAAGCTTGTTTCAGCTTAGTATGATCCTTTGACCCCAAACCGGGTCGTGCTGTTAGTGTCAACGAAAGAGAGCAAGAAAAGCGCAGTAAATCGAGCAGTCATATTGCAAGCTAACAGACAACTGGAGGAGGAGAGAACAAAGACAGAGAGAAAGGAGAAGCCTTCATGCACAACAAACAAGCATGACTAGCCTGAACAATCAGGCAGTAACGCAGGTCAGGCTCCAACCTGTGGACAGTTAGGGAACGATGGCCTTTGGTTGGTTGAATCTTAACTAGTATATTTCCTATTCTGGTTTAGTATCAACTTCCAAGGTTTCCCCATCCTTTCTGATACGACCTCGGGAGGTCTTTTTATTACTCTTCACCTACCTAGCTACATATGTAATGTAGCTAGTCTCTTGCCCAGTCTCTTATTTGTCTACACTCCGAACTGTCTTTCCCGTTGGCTATGCGCTAGGTATGGACTTGAAAAAGGGGTCGGAATATGAGGCGCCGTAATGGTGGATATCACCAGAGTCAAGGCCTACACGGTCGCATAATTTTGCAGTCTTATCTTCAGGTGCAAGGCTAGTGGCTTACCCCAGGGTTGTACCTTTGTCCGGGTCTAACTATCGTTAGGTGGCCACGGACCCCTCTACTGACCAGTCATTGATCAGAGATATAGCGGTTTAATACCGCGTGGCTGAGAGTGTCTGTACGACGGGATGAAATTGTCCTGCGAGAAAGATTTAAATATAGCACATATTCCTGCTGGTCGTTTAATTTTTATTCAGCATTTTCCCTTTTCAGTGTCGTACAATATGGCGACAATAGAGACCGAACCCCACAGCTTTGTTGGTGATCAACATCCGATCAGCGAGAAGGGCAAAGTACTTAGAAATTTGGTGGAAGCCGATCTGCTGGATGATCGTTATACAACCACCACCAAACGTGGTTTGAAGAATCGCCATGTTCAGCTAATGGCCCTAGGAGGCACGATCGGAACTGGTACGTTTGCAGGTTGGCGACATGGAAAAAAGGCTTACTCACGCAAATTCAGGACTCTTCGTGGGTTCCGGCCAAGCCCTGGCCATTGGAGGCCCCGCCTCGCTTCTTTTAGGTTACATCTTCATCTCGGCCATGGTTTATGGCTTGGTCACAGCTATCGCTGAGGTTGGTGCCTACCTTCCAGTACATGGTGGAACGATGAGTTATCATGGATTCCGCTACGTGTCGCGGAGTATGGGTTTCGCCATGGGATATCTGTACTGGTATTCTCTCGGAATCTTAGTGCCGTACGAGATCACAGCTGCTGGTCTGGTTATTGGATACTGGGACCAGAGTGGATCGATCAACATCGCTGTGTGGATCACAATCATGATGGTCATCATTATCGCGCTTAACTTTATGCCCGTACGAATATACGGCGAGACGGAGTTCTGGTTCGCCGGGGTGAAGATTGTTACTCTGATCGGCTTGTTGATGGTATCCTTCATCCTCTTCTGGGGTGGTGGACCTAATCGGCAGCGACTAGGTTTTCATTATTGGAATAATCCGCGCCCATTCAATGCGTATCTCACGACAGGAGATTCAGGCCGGTTCGTGGCCTTGTTGAAATGCACAGTATCCAGCGCCATTGCGTTCATCTTCGCCCCAGAGCTGATTGTGATCAGTGGTGGTGAGATGGAGTCCCCTCGGCGCAATGTACCCCGCGCAGCTCGGAGATACATCTACCGACTGGTCTTCTTCTATATTTTTGGTGTGCTAGCCATTGGTGTTATTTGCCCATCCGATGCTAGTCGTCTGACCAAGGGCGACGGCACGGTGAGCTCCTCTCCATTCGTGATTGGCATCCAGAACGCTGGCATTCCCGTTTTGGACCACATCGTGAACGCTGCGGTCTTGACATCCGCCTGGTCCGCAGGAAATTCCTTCCTATACATGTCTTCTCGGTCACTTTATTCCTTGGCTATGTCAGGCAACGCGCCGCACGTGTTCAAGACATGTAACCGATGGGGGGTCCCATACTGGGCTGTTTCGGCTTCAGCATGCTTCTCTGCATTGGCGTATCTTGCTGTTGGCAACTCCAGTTCGATCGTGTTCAACTGGTTCATCAACTTCACAAACACTTCTGGCTTCATCTCATGGATCTGCTGTTCTGTGGTGTTTTTCCGTTTCCGCAAAGCCGTCCAAGCACAGGGTATTGAACAACCGTACAAATCAAAGCTGCAGCCGTACGGGGTTTATTTTGGCCTCGCGGGTGCCACTCTCATGGCGCTCATAAATGGGTTCACGGTGTTCTTCCCATCGGAATGGTCTGTGAGCAACTTTTTCACCGCATACATCGGTATTCCTGCTTTCTTGATTCTTTACTTCGGTCACCGGGCACTGTATTGGAGTGATCCATGGGCATGGCGCCCGGAGGAAGTTGATATGCACACTGGCTTGGATGAGATTATTGCTGCTGAGCAACCGCCAAAACCACGGGGACCTTGGTGGAAGTTTTGGTGATATACATCATAATATGAGGGGACCTCATGAGTAGTGGACTCACACTTGATTTTCTCCCCACTTGTCAGGGATGACCTCGCCTTGGACATAATTACGTGGACGCTGCCCAGGTGGAGAACTTTTGTCATGTTTTTCGGCTTATGAATGTTTGTACGGTTTACGTTGTCTGCAGTGTTTGGCAATATCATAACATCGATATCCGAGCGGGTGTGTTGTTACCACTGATCCGCCTTATCGCCCTACAATAGTTAGCAACATTGAACTTACCTCAACATGTTATTGCTCCGCAAAAGGTTCCGAGTCTAGCTTATCGAAACATTCGCTTGGCAAGTTAGCCAGTGACAACCTCTTTATCATTCCCATTGTCCCACATATTCTCTCTCATATTCGGTATACGCCGTTGACCGTTCAAACCTGGTCTTGAGAACCGAACCCTTAGTATGATCAAGGAGTATAAGGACTATCGTGTAAAACGTATATAAATGTCCTATTTCGAGCTGTGAACTTGAAAACTGGACGAAACCGAAACTATGGCGGTGCTACCACTTACCGTCTGTCCGCTCCAACCTCCTCCGGGCTCAAGCATCGATTTCGGAGCTGAGATTCAAGGCGTCGACTTGGAAAGCCTGACTGGTTCGTGGATCTACCAACTGCAAGAGCGCAAGCTAATGATCATACAGAGGAGCAGTTTGGGACGATTCGGAAGGCCCTCTACGAGCACCACGTGCTGGTGTTCAAACACCAAAAAGGGCTATCACCTAAAGCCCAATATGAGTTGACCAAGCGCTTCGACCCAGTCTCCAATAACTATGGACATGGAAAGACCATCGATACGAAGCGAAGCATTCTCCATCCTGATCTGAAGACTGTCCCTCACCAGCCACAAGTGCAGGTAATTGGAAACGGGCACGTCGATTCATACGAGGGTCTTAAAGATATCACACTACGACACCCTCACCACCGGACATTCCACCAAGATCACATCCCAGACGAGAAGGACTATGAATTCACTCGGTTTTATCGTTGGCACATCGATGCTGCACTCTACGACCTATACCCGCCCCAGGTGACAACGCTTATGGCTGTGAGTGTGCCTAAAGGCCGCCGACAGACATTATTATATGATGATGGGACCGGAGAAACAATGGATGTACCACTTGGCACAACGGCGTTTGTTAGTGGCGAGCGAATGTTTGAACTTCTTTCCCCCGAGGATAAGGAGTTTGCGAAGACGAGCAAAATGGAATATGCCCCCCATCCGTAAGACCTCCTATGGTATGCCCATCTCTCTGATCATCGAGCTAACCGCCAAGACAGGTACATCTGGATGAGTCAAGCGCATTCCCGATCCACGGGGCTTGGTATGCACTCAGAAGGCCTTGAGTTGCCCGACTCAGAACTGCCACCTATCGACCCTGGGAAGATCATGGTCTTCCCAATGACCTGGAAAAACCCAGTGACGGGCAAGTTGGCTCTGCAGATCCATCCCTCTGCCGTGCGCCGTATCCACTGCGCCGATGGAACCACGATCGACGACTTGGCCCGTGTGCGGGATATTGTTTATAAGTTGCAGCGGCCGGCCATCAGCCCTCAGTATGTATATCCGCATGACTGGGAGGATAATGACTTTGTATTATTCAACAACCGCGGCGTGCTGCATTCTGTGGTTGGTGCTTTCAAACCTGACGAGGTGCGATTGTTCCGTCAATGTAACTTGGCGGCTTCCGAGCCCCCGGTTGGAGCATAAGTGCTTTTGATTTTGATTTGACGGAGATTATGGGCCAGCACACCGCACGGGATCCCCATGCGGCTTGAATTGTATCAAACGGGTCGGCCACGCGTTGACCTTGTCCTCCATTGCACTCGGATGAACGGACGGGATGAAATGATGCAATCGGTAATAGAATATCAGTTACATTTGTTTTCATAGCCTTGGAATATATTCAAGCTCACAGTGACAGCTTCGGAAACGGTGAAAATCATGAATATTTCATAATGAGATTGAGCACTCTAGAAACTTGCTGGTTGGTAAATCGCGGATCAATGACGGAGATGAACGGGAATAAACCGTGGAAACTTTCCAGGAGGACATCGAAAGCGTTAAACCGGGATTTTAATTGCCTGCCACTCTAAAAACCCAAGTCGAACTTGTAAATGCCCAAGAATGTGACAAATCATAAAAGAAATCCAAGTCCACTGCATGCCAAGCTGGGCGTTGTGATCTGGTTCGAGTTATTTACGCGCCCAATTCGGATCCAAATAGGCCGCCAAGGAGGTAACGGAACATGCAGGCGCCTCGCCACGTTGATTACTGGTATGTGTTTTCTATATTCTCGAGAACTATTCAGGTTGTTGATGTATACAATCTCAGGCATCTATTGCATGCCTTAGGCTATAACCAAGCTCGGGCCAATCACCATTCTCGGCCCCCTGAAAATAAACAGTTGAGGGGACTCCGTGAGGATGTAGAAAATGTCTTCTGGTTATTTAAGCCCAAGTTATCCGTCAGATTCATTTCACATCAGGCGGAAGCCCGTGTCAAATCCGAACTTGCGAGCTACGGCGCATGCCGATCAGCGAGAAGCAATAGCTTATGCTGCCAGTACTCGGTCTCTTGTGGCCCCATCATCACAGCCCCCATCATATACGGACCTTTATGGACCACCACCTCCTAGGCCTGTAAGTCCAGGCTCACTGCCGCGACCAAGGACAGCAGGGCCAACTTCATATCCGACTCCTCCGCCGACGCCTGTTCAAAAGGCATACAGCGAAGCCCGGCATTTCCTCACTGGTCTAATCAGTCGCCCGACGGAATCAAACAAGCATGTCACCATTTTACGACATTCCCATGGGCTGATCTTTTACCGTGGACCCACTACATCGGTCGCTATATCAATCTTCTCTGATTTCCCCTTACCACCTGAACACACCTTGTGGCTGCAGAGCAAAGGTTGGAGCGGGAAGACCGGGATGCAATTCAAGTCGTTCCTCCGTCTCCGAGATAGCTGGCTTGACGTGACCCCGGGTATGCCGTTGAGGGCCGACCAGGTATCTCCGGATGATGAACGAGCTTGGCAACGCGACATCAAGAAATTTCGAAAGAAGGCCCCGCCCCGTCCGCGTGATACACACCAGCTACGTGAAACTGCCGTTGTGCGGATTCCAGCCGAAGCAGGTGATGGTTACTTCCAGCTAGTTCTCTGCCAAGGGCTCAAGAAGAAGGTGCTTGGCAATAGCCCCGTGTTCCGGGTGCTCTCTACATCCACTGCCCCCAGCTCTATCCGTGGCGCAAGCTTGAGCACGCTGCCTCTGGAGGTTGGGGCTATGGTTGTGAGCCTTTACGCCCAAACTGCAGCGCGAACCGCGGCAGGTCCGGCCGCCATGGCTGTTAAAGCCAAAGCTGCTCCGTTTCGTCCGTCGTGGGTGACAAAGACTGCGATCCAAAAGGCTTACACGACTAGTGGTATCGAGAACCGCGTGGGCGGTATTATCAATGGCCCTAAAGGACCTATTGGGCGACCTCAGGTAAATCTAGCAGCTCCAGAAATAGCTGGAAGCAGCTCGGTTCCTATCGACGTCGGTCCTCAGCCACCGTTTCCTATGACATTCAAAGCTCGCTGTCAAACCGATCAAATCTCATACCCCAACAACCCCGACTGCATATCGAAGTTGAGCTTGACTAGAACGCCCGACTGGGTGACGGAGCAGCTAAGGGGTTACTTCTTCGGCTGGGCTCGATTCGAGACCGGGTCGAGCAAAGGTCCCTCGACTGATGAATGGTGCCCAGCTATCTTGTCTGTGCGGGCATTGGATCCTCTCCAGGCGGCGAGAGTAAATCTGGCTCAAATATCAAAACGCGTGGTCGCAGTTCGCCTCCTCGAGGATGTTCCTCTGCAAACAAGCAAAATCGAGATTCGTGTTTTGGGATACCTTCGCGCTGAAATTCCACCACCCACTGGGACTACGAGCAAAGAACTCACCGAGGCGCAAGCGGCAGCTGCAGAGGCGGCTCTGCTCGCTGATGTATACGACGCATCTGTTGTACAGGATACCCTGGCTCATCCCGCGTGGGCCGCGGAACACCTGGCCATCTCAAACTTTCAAAAAAGCTCGAATTGGATTGATCGCACAGTCGAGGGATATACAGATATCCTCACCCGTGGACAGAAGTTGGTAGAGCAAGTTCCATTACACCTGATTGGAGTTCGCTCTGTCACCGACGAGCTCAGAGAGAGCCAAGTTGCCGTAAATGGGTTCTATGTTGTCCGCTAATCCTTGTCAATACGCCCATGAATCTTTCCAAGGTTTACGGATGCATAACGAATTCTAATATGTACAACATCCGACATCTGGATATATAATTTACTCCAATCCTTCATGATCCTTTACATATATCCCATAATCATACATTTCAACGGACTGATTATGATCGGAGGTCCAAATGATACTATTGAGGTGGACACGCACAGTGAAGTAATAATTTTGCAGGCACATAGGCTTGGGCGAGTCTGGGACGTTCAAGACGTATTTTATTCGCACAATCCAAGTTTACGCTTAGGCTTAGGAAGAATGATGCAATATAATCCACCGGCCTCCATAAAAATACCAACCAGGGCTCCATTGTCCAGCTTCATCCCAAGTGAACCTATATAGTCCGTTGGCGTTCAAAACGGACCACTAGTAGCTGAGCGCATCGGGCTAGAGGCCCTCGGTAATGGCAACAGCAAGGTCATCTCTATCGGAGAGGATATCAATTTCCTCGAGTCCCTCGGAGTCATCCTCTGTGTCCTCGATATCGTCGGCCCCTGTCCAGCCACATCCCGTCGGAGGATCTGATTGGAGGTTGGGCGATGTTGTTTTGGGGAGCATCCTGCCCAACTGTTTGCTGTAGCGTGGCTTATGGTCTAGGGTTTGCGAGGTTTTGAGCGTGACCTTGACCGGCTAAGGAGAATAGATCGGTCATATCAATGACCCTGAAGATGGGATGTTGAGAGGACTAATGCCAGTACAAACATCTTGAAGGGATGTCAGATAGGGATAGAGAGTAAAAACAAGTGGACAAAATTGAGTCAAGAGGGATTAGTAGAGACGTGTGAGGAGAGAGGGAGGGAGGAGCCCTGGAGATATGTAAAAAAATGATTAAGGGAGCTACCTACTATGTATGTAGGTAGGTAGCAACCTGGGAAACATAATAAATCGGGTAATAACACCAAGTTACATTAGAAATATCTTTATAGGAACTGGATAGTAAATTACAGGCGTGAAGCAACAAACAGACATCGGACTTTCCTTTCCGTAGCACGATCTTATAAAAAGGATATCACCATACTCATCATCATTAAGCAGGCCTGAACATTGGGCCCATTAGACCATAAATCCCCAGCAATCCTAGGGACCTTAATCCGCGGCTCCCAAAGAGCCATCTCTACAGCTCGACGATAGGAGATCTCCGCACACAGTCCAAAGCATCTTGAGTATCTCCCGATGAAAGACGACATTTCGGCGCTGATCTCTAGGGATTTGCCCTGTGAGCCGGTCTGGAGTGGCCGGGGCCTCCAGGGCCAGGAAGCCCATTTTCATCGAATTGCTCTTCTCCCTCCATTCGAGCAGTGATACCCCTCGTTTCTCAATGTTATCTTTCGTTTGCCGTTGGGGGAGGTAACCGCTCGTTGGGCGCATCAAGACCATGTACATAAGCTCATCTCTTAGCTCTTATCTCTTCTCTTTTGCTGTATGTACTGGCTGCGATGCTTGATGGGCGATCGCAGCTCATGATTTGGCCATCGCTCGATATCGACTTGGCAGGCGATTCTGAAATAGCCGACTCGCGTATTTGCGCAAGTCATACCTGGGGTGCCAAAGTCTGTTGACACCGGATGCACGAAAGGTTTTCATATTGTTGGGTTGGGGTGATCGACACTGCATTCCTTCTGATATCCAGGCCAGGTCGGTCGGGAAAAGACTAGATCAAGGTACCATGATCATAAAAACTCACAACCCATGAAAACAGTCCTTTGTATTGGAGTGTCATAGTACGGTGCAATATCCACAAACCCGTATTTCCGATATAGACTCTGGGCCGCTGTCATTTCAGGTAGAGTGTCTAGGCGCATCCCGCGGTAGCCCAGATCTCTGGCTTGTGCGAGGATCGCTTGAACGAGCCTTTCACCCAGGCGTTCTCCACGAGCTTCCTTGAGAACATACAGGCGCTTCATCTCGCACCAGCCATCAGAGCTGCGCCGGAGTGCCACACATCCGAGGGCAGAGGGGAACTGCGGGGGAATGATTGAGTCGACTCGTCCATTCGTATTATCTTCTCGAACACCCGTGTCTGCCCGTGCCATCAAGAGAGCCCCCCCTTGAGATGGAGCATAGTTTCCAGGAAGAGAATCAAGTTCCTCTTGAAAGGATTGAAAGGTGAGGTCGATGTCGAGAGATGTGGCATAGCCAGAAAACAGTGAGAGGATGGAATCGGCGTCTTCGGGGAATTGCGCCGGCTCTATTTGGATTTTCATGATAGAGGATGAAGACGAAGTCGAGACGATCAAAAGTCAAAGATCTTAACCTAGAGGTCGACAAGCGCGATGAGTCATAATTTGCCGAGAGGAAAGAGAAGTGATCTCTCGTGTTCGCTTCAATCAACTACCATAAGCTATAACGCTGTCTTCAATCAATGTTTTGATAAATTTCAGTAAATTGAAGTTAAAGAAGGTCATACCTCCCAGTTTTATCGATGGCAAATGTCCCCTTATCCGACTGAAATATATGATGAATATCAATCACCCATTGTACAAACGCAAAACTCGTCAACTCCTAAATCAAAGGCCTCCATGAATATGCATATCAAGTTACTGGTAGGTAACAAAGAACTCAGTGTCACTCCTGATTTCCACATGGGCCTTCACGTTGCCATTCTGCTGGATATCCAGAACGGCAGCGTTGTTGACACCATACTTCGCATCACCAGCCTCGGCCTGTGCACCGGTAAAGTCGACTCTGTCGAAGTTGACCAAGGGAACCATGCTGCTACCGGTGTTGAAGTCCTCAACTATCCATTCGGCGTTTTGGCCAGCAAGGGTGGCGTCTGCCGAGGGCGCAGACAGAGTCTTTGTCACACTCTGGCCGCTCGACTTATTCTCGATGATGGCAGCACCCTTGCTGGGCGAATATGTCTCAACCTTCGCGACGATAACGTCGCCTGCGGACAATGCAAGGTCAAAGTTCTCCGCACTTAACGGATACCACTCGTACCAGGCGTCAAATGTCTTTTTCCCATCCTGGATGTAGGTATCGATGCCAGTTTGCAGAATGGCCTTCGTGTAAGTGTCACCGTCAATGCCAACCCAGGCGGACACAGCTTGCATCTCCCCGGAGTCATTGGTGGCCGTTGGCTCGGGGACGATGAACGTTGCAGAGACAGCCGTGTAGGTAGCACTGGCGGGTGGCTGCTCGCGTACCACCCCAGCCCAGTTCTTGCTGTATTGAACATTGGCTCCCTCGGTTCCTTCCTTGAGCAGAACGCTCTTCTTTTCGGCGGGTAGTGACTGGCGTGACAGAGTACCACGGGCCTCTAGTCGGTCAACCAGGCCGCTGCGAGGGGCAGCGAGAGAACTACCTGCAAGTATAGCAGTGGTCAGGATCGTGGTGGTTGTGAACTTCATATTGGCGGCGACGCGAGTGGGTTTGACGAGAAATTGGAACGGTATGGATAGCAAGGAGATGAAGCTATGACTTGGCTAGCCTAATATCTCTTAGGCTTAGTCCAATGGTACTTATATCCTGCCTCTCGTGGAAGTTGCATGCGGCACAACATAATGCCCAATCCGCATGGGGAAACGGAGCTCGTGGCGTGGTACTGATGACCCCAGGCACAAGATGGGACACATTGATGGACCCACTAGAGTGGAGTTATGGAAAGGGAAGAACAAGAAAAGCAAGTTCTTCCTAGGCATCTGAGTTGTATTGATTAACAGGATCATGACCCGATCTGCTGAAGTGGTGTCGATCTTCTCTCTTTTCCTGCTGAGTGCCCATGATGAAGGCCAAGGTTGTCTTTCCGTTATCGTCACGATATGAGACCTAGAGCATATGAGGACCTCAGCAGAGCTTGCGCGTCTCTGTGACAGGCACATTCCTGGAGACAGAAACATCTGACAGCGGAGCCCCGACGGATCAGACGAAGATCGGCGATCCCCATGTCTGCCACGAGATTCACCAACTTGAAGTGACACGCATTTCATTGAAGATTAACAATGCATAGTATGCATATTGTATGTAGTGTTGATATTCCCCGGCTTTGCAGCTATTCGATATTTGGTTTCATGCGACCGCTTCGTACCGTTGAGCCTGGCATTCTCACTACGTCTACCGACGTGTCGGTGAAACTGAGAGTGCTTGTTTCGGGAAACGTGCCAATAGAACAAGAACACACCAAATTGGGCCGAGAGGTAGAAATGTCTTTCGAAACAGAAAAGCCCTTGCGATCGTGCTTGCAATGTCACCTGGGTGCGGTTATTACATACCAAGCAAGGGATGACAACGTGTTCACATTCCTAAAGTGGTCGAGCCTCCGGGAACAGTACACCTTATAAGCAGTGGTCGCTTGACTCGAAGCCAACTATCCTCGTGCAGTGCCTCGCGTGAGATGAAGATTGAAGCAGATCCATGGAAATAAAAGCACAATCGCAAATAGGAAATAAGAACGTTCGAATTAATCCAAATGGACAAACAGATATGTGTAGTCTTCAGAGAAGAGGTTCGATATGTTTCTGAAGTAAATCGTCAAAACTCGCCTTCAATTGCTCCGTTATTTAATATCACATAGGAAGATGACGCATCTCGGAGAGAGACCAGAACTTGCGCATATTGGCAGCTCCAAGAGTTTGAACCTCTTGGTCCAAGTGCGTCCACAGAACCTTTCCAAACCCTTCCATCAACCGTTTCACCTCTTCGCGGCGCATGTCTTCCTCGCCGGTCCGACACTGCTCAAGATACTTCTCAAGTTTCTCAAGTCCCGCATGGATTTGTCTGTGCTGACTTAATAGCTCGAGCTCCTTTCGAAACTCAGGCATCCTTTTCGCCAATACGGGGAATATATGTTGCTCCTCGATGGAGTGATGGAAATCCAATTGCGAGCAGAATTGAAGGCCTATCGTGATCATCTGGCGGGATGAGAGTCTCCGTTTTCCAGAGCTTTCACAAGCCTCCCAAAGCTGGTTCCATATTAAACGGAAATGGCCATGCTGCATGAGAGTCAGTGAGATGGTGTGAATGGAAAACTTGAGTTATAAAAAATCTGCCAAGGTGACAGTAAGCTTACAAATCCTTCCATTTGCTCCGCCATGCGATTATAAGTGCGAAAATCACTGGCTGACAATGGAGAGTCTCCCAAGTCCCCAGACGACATCTTTTTAGAACCCATTGGATTGAGGCTTCGAAAAAAGCCTGGCCGAGGGATAGATGGCAGGACAAATGGACGAAAGCGAAAATGCATGGGCAATTGGAAGCAATTTCCAAGGTGAGAAATAAAAAAGTATGGAAAGATAAACAATCCGGGGTTGATTTGAAAGCAGCCTTTCTCATTGGAAGTTCTCCAGTTCCATCTATTTTTAGTCACTGAAAAAGATAAAAGCCTTCGAAAGGCTGATGGTTCCATTCCTATAGACATATACAAATTTACACATGCGGGATATTCCAGATCTTCAATGGACGTTTGCCACCTCAGGCGAACCGTTGGACAAAATTCTAGTACTCACTGGCGAGGGAGATAAATCTCCATTTCGATATAAGCACTTCTTCGGCACAACCTCGGCCAAAAGGGCCGGATCGCAATTTGACATCCGTGCTAGAAATTCGGGTTGGTTGGGAAGGGGAAGGTTAGTACATATGTATGTATGTGTGCACGAGGCAAAGAAAAGAAAAGGTTATGGTATTATCAATACACATCGGGGGCACCTGGGACGGGCGAGAAAATAGTAACACAATATGCCGCCGGGAGGGGGAATCGAAAATATTAGACAGTAAAAGGTCGTAACGCCGTGGATGTGAGAATAATTTCACAATCAAAGCTCAGGGTGTTCAAGCTGGTTCTTGACCGGTGGCCGGAAGTGGCCGGACGTGATTTCCTTGAAGGCAAGGTCGAACCGGGCGCCCATCATCCAGGCGGCGAAGATCATGATACTAGCGATAACCACAACGATAACTCCCATGAGAGCCATCATGAAGTACACATCATTCTTGTTCTCATCTTCTTCTTTCTTCTTCTGTAGCTCGGCCGCAGTGAGCTCACCAGAGACCTTACGGTTGGCGGCCTCGGCGGATTGCGTCGGGAAGATGGTCTCAATGAACTTCTCGATCTGTCCGCAGACAATGCTGATCTTCAGGAAGTTGGGATCCTTGGGTGTATTCTTCTTGTGGATCTTGCGCGTGTACTGGCGGAAGCTGTCGCACAGAACCGACAAGTTCTGTGTAGACTTGTGCATGAGGTCGCATGCATCTCCCTTGGTGATCTTAATGTTGCGCTTGAAGATATCGGGATTGCGGAAACACAACTCCATTGTGGCGATGGCCATGGACTGCGGGATTGCACAGAAGTTGAAAACACTCTGCTCTCGCATACCAGCCAGGTAGAACAGACACTCCTCAGCATGCTCCAGCGCGTTCAGGACCATCTCCGAGCTGCAGTTAAGGGCTGCGTCGAGGTGCTCTGGCTTGAAGAGATCCTCAAAGTGGTCGACATGCTTGGACCAAATTTCCTGAGGCCAGAATCGTCGGTTATCATCGAAATCCTCCCGGATATCACGGATGATATTGGTCTTCTGGAGGAAAAGACCCATTGACTTATGCAAGTTGGGGCGCTTCAACAGAGCCGGGTTACCAAACCCGGCCTCGACAAAGAGGCGAGTGAGGCCCTCGCCAACCAATCCAGCTACATAGAAACAGTACAGATCATACTCCTCCTTGGTCTTCACACTCGCATCGTCATTCTCTGCCTTGATGGCATAGTCAGCCATGCCATTGCCCATCTTTTCGGTGATGTCCTTGATGATAGCCTGGTATTCGGGCTTCATGTTCATGAACTCGGTGACGACGTGGTTGAACTGAACCAGCAGCTCACGGTCCTTCTCCTCCGGCCGATTCCCAGTAAAAGTCCAGCCGTCTTGTGTCAGGATATCCTTAAAGTCACGGAGGAGAGGTTCCTTGGTGGCTAAGGGAATGGAAGTGTCATCCTCGATAGTATCCAGCCCACGGAGGACCAAGTAGAAAATGCAGATAGGGATCAACAGTTCGGGATGTAACTCCTTGATCACAGCGCTGAAGCTTCGGCTGGTTTTGTCCAAAAACTTGAAACAAATCTTCTGATTCTCCGTCTCATTCTTCTCGTTACGCTCATGGGGCGGGTTGTGCCAGACTTTCCTATACGTGGATGATTAGCTTGGCATTTCATCTCCAACGAATTTCAGGACTTACCATTGGAGAATTGCCCTCAGCTCCATGGGGTGAAAGGAGTAGTAGAGAACATTGCCGATGAGACCCATGATGGGCGGGGGATTGGCGCGTAAGCCGGGAAGTTCAAGCGATTGTTAGAAGGCAAAGTAGCCTAAAGTGAAGCAAGGCGGAAACAGGGTCCGAAAGAAAAGGAATTGAAGCCGAAAATCAATCAGAAAAACAAAGAAAAACAACAGAACCTGGGGGAACGGCGGATGGGGAGGGAAAAGGGGAAAAGGCCAGAACAGATTAAATGCAGAGTTAGCTCACACGTGACTGGAGCAAACCATGCATACAACCCCACATGATATCAGCGCCAACTTCCGAAAAATATCTTGAGGTTCTGCCTAAACAACACAGGTCTACGGTCTTTCTTTCTTCAGACCTTTGACTTTAATCTTCCCTCAACCCACCTGTTCTCAATTTAGGCTCGGTCGCTGCAATGGTTGCCGATACTGCCTACTACGATGCCCTCGGTGTGCCACCTACGGCCACCGAACTGGAAATCAAGAAGGCCTACCGGAAACTGGCTATTGTCACTCACCCGGGTATGGCCGTCTTTAAATTTCTTTGCCAATTTGTCTAATCCGTTAGCGCAGACAAGAACCCGGGAGATGAAACCGCGCACGAACGCTTCCAGGCGGTATGATTGCGCAACCCCAGAGACGATGCACATTACACGAGGCTGATATCCTACTACTAGATCGGTGAGGCGTACCAGGTCCTGAGCAATGAAGATCTCCGAAAGCGATATGACAAATTTGGCAAGGAGGAGTCTGTGCCTGGTGGTGGTTTCGGTATGTCCATCACATGCGCACTAACGACCGGCACAACGTTTCTGATTTGTCTTGTACAGAGGACCCGTCCGAATTCTTCAGCATGATCTTCGGTGGCGAGGCCTTTGTTGATCTTATCGGCGAAATTTCCCTCATGAAGGACCTCACCGCGACTATGGACATCACGATGCAGGAAATGGAGGAGGAAGAATTGGCCCAGTCCGCGGAAGAGAAGCTCAACATCCACGACGAGGAGATGAAGGCTGCGGCTGGGGCTCCTGCTCCTGCTTACGAAAGCCACGTTCCCGCGGCAGAGGCCGCACCTGCAGCTGCAGCTGCAGCTGCCGGCCCCTCTGAGAAGCCGACCTTCGACCAAAGCTCAGGCACCAGCACTCCTCGACGAAACTTCGGCCAACAAGCCCTCATGGACAAATCCGAAGAAGAAGCTCGCATGGAGGCAGCCGGTCTGTCCCAGGAGGAGAAGGAGCTGCGCAAGAAGGAGAAGAAGAAGGGTCTATCTAAGGAGCAGCAAGAACGCCTTACTGCCTTTGAGGATGAACGCAGAAAGGCTCGCGAAGATCGTGTCAACACACTAGCAAACAAGCTGATCGATCGTTTGAGCGTTTGGACTGAGACGGACAAGGGCAAGGATGTGTCCCATGCTTTCGAGGAGAAGATCCGACTTGAGGTTGAGAACTTGAAGATGGAATCTTTCGGTTTGGAAATTCTCCACGCTGTCGGTCAAACCTACGTTCAGAAGGGTACTTCCTTCCTCAAGTCACAGAAGTTCCTAGGTATCTCTGGCTTCTTCTCCCGTTTGAAGGACAAGGGCACCCTTGCGAAGGAGACATGGACCACCATCTCCACAGCCATTGATGCGCAGATGACTATGGAGGAGATGGCTAAGATGGAGGAACGCGGTGGTGAAGATTGGACTGACGAGAAGAAGGCTGAATACGAGAAGAAAGTTACTGGCAAGATCCTCGCTGCGGCGTGGCGTGGCAGCAAGTTCGAGATCCAGAGTGTCCTGCGTGATGTCTGTGACCAGATTCTGAGCGACAAGCGGACCCGACTTGAGAAACGCATTGAGCGTGCGCATGCGCTGGTGATTGCCGGCAATATCTACGCGAAGGTATATAGACATCCTTTTTATGCAGGAGTACCGTGCTAATCACTTTTAGGCCGCACGCGACCCCGAGGAAGAAGGCGATTACATGGCCTTCGAGCAGCTTATGGCTGAGGCCATGAGCAAAAAGGGAAAGGATGAAAAGGAGAAGGATAAGAAGAAGAAGAAGTCCAAGCACGACCATGAGGAGACCCACGGAAAAGAGCATGTGGAAGAGACCACTGTTTGATTGCCTCATTATCCATCTCATTTTTTTAATTTCTGGTTGAGTTCCATCTCCTACCTGGTCTTTCTTGATTTCTTGATAGCCGGTTCATTATATCCTGGACATACATGTTGGGTTTGCTTTTTACCTTCTCGCCTGTTTCTCGGGCTTGACGATTCTGCTTTTTACAGCGACTGGACGCTTACAGGTTGCGGCACGCACTTTGTTCAAGCGATAGATTGGACTATATACCTCCCATGCCCTTTTATTGGTCGCAACAGCACGGCAGTGGTTTGATGCGGATTGTATGGACATAGATGCTCTTAATAATCACATTGAAAACTATTGATATGACATGTTATTAGTTATTATCGGTACTGTGGGTGATATAACAATGTCGAAAGCACGCACAACATGTAACCAGTCCCGATGAAACCAATTACTATTTCTTGCGAAGCCCACGACACCACGGTGAGGTGATTATGCCGGCCTTAATTCATGCGAACATATGTGGTACTCGGTTCCATGTCAAGGGCGAGGAATGGCTAAGCCGTTGACTGTTCCGCTGCTCATGAAGAAGACCTTTAGCATCACAATATCACAGCTTCCGCAGAACTACAGGGTTCGTACTTATCGGCACCTCGTGGGCAGGGTCAGCATTAGTCTGGTGCCCACCAACTCCATTATCCTTCCTGAGAGACTGGTACCCAGCCCAGTCAGACACCAAAACACCACACATGGCAAGAATGGTGAATACGACGAGGGCAACAAACAGTAGCCTAGATATGAGTTGAGCGTCAGATCAGTTCCATGTACTGCGTGTGTTGACTGGAGACTATCTGGAGGACCTACCAAAGGAGCACACCAAAGGCAAGCACGGCATTGTAGTAGGCGTTTACACTAGTACCACCACCAAGGAGACTGGCGAGGTCAGCAAAGCATGCTAGCCAGAATACCATAGTGACGAAATAAATGGCCACGAAGATAGCAGCGAGAACAGTGTTGAGCTTTGCGGTCACGAAGCCCTTGCGAGTATAGTACCAGGGCAGTACTAGGGCGGCGACTGTCACGAGAATAGTCCAAACTGAAGAGAAGACAAGGAAAACGAGGATAGCCGGAGGATTTACGTCGACTTGACTGTAGGAATAGCCCGAATATGCGCTCCAGGTGGTGACGACTTCTTGTGTGCCATAATATGCAGCAGCAACGAACGCCGACAGGCCCAGCTCGACGATGGCGAAAGCCAAGGAAGTGCCTAGTAGGGCACACAAGACAATACTGAGAGCCAGCATAGTGAAGTCAATATATAGCTAGGATATAGCTGCTTTGGAGGTCTCTGCATGCGCAAGAGTATCAAAATAGAGAAACAAAGACAGCTCGGAGGGGCCCCAAAGGGCAGGATCCCTTGCGCTTTATGATTCCTTCCAAATGCACATAACTAAAGGAGCTTGTAATCGTAAACAGCGCAGGATGAGCCTGAATCTTGGAGCTTACGCCACCAAAAGCAATGACTGGTGTCCGATACGAGCCGCCACATCGACATGGCAGTTCGCGCTGGTCCCAATCGGTACAAGGTAAGCGAATGGGTGCCTCGGAGGTATTGTAAAGAGTTAGAGTTTCGGGATCTCAGAACGGAGGCAGAGGGCTGAGAGATGTCATTTGCCGAGATGTGATGTGTGTCCCCCAGCCTTGTTTCAACTTTTTTCTTTGATGCATCACCGGATATGAATGTAAGGAAAATCCTACTTAATGACCAAAACGGTTGGCTTTTTCCTCCCCAGTCAAATTTGAACATCTCGTATTTCTCTGAATTTCGTGTTGTGCCCGTGATCTGGCTGTTAATGAAGTTCACTGGGCCAACATTTCCCCACACGGCCTTGGCTATTGAAATCTTCGGGATCACCATAACTCGAAGAGACAGATCCCGTCCAGGGGCAAAATACAACATTATGAGGGTCCCAGGGTCATATCGTGCCGGGTAAAACGGCGAAAGGAGCCTACGTGATTCCACACGAGGAAAGATATTTGGTCGATCCCCTTCCCCCTCTCCACAGGGCAAACGACAGGCGATTTCTCGCAGGAATGGCTTTCGGAAATTTGTCGTGTGCCTACGGACAACAGTAGCACCAAGATGGTGTCCCTACATGCCATGAGCCTGCTGGCCCTTGCGGGCAGCACTGCTGGGCCACAAGCTCCTCGGCCGCAGCCGGACCCACCCGTCTGTCATATCCGTCGGGTCTTGATAGGAACTCTTAGCCCTTATGCCGATGCATTATGTTTCAATGTCTGCTAGGGTTTTCCATCGGAAGGTGAACTGTCGCATGTGCATGTGCTTCATCGCCATGCCCAGCGGTATCCGACACAATGGCCTCTCGATGGAGAAGGCATGGAGAACTTCGCCCAGAAACTAGCAAACTACACCAAGAAACAGCCAAATAAGAAGATCGGCTCTGGGACTCTGGCATTCTCAAAAATTAGGAGTATATACTTGGTTTAAACACTCCCCACTGGCGCCCAATTCCAGAGCCGGTACGACCGATTGTTCTACCGTGCAGAACATGTTGACGCGGCCTGGGATGCTCGTTGAATATGTATTCCGGTACCGCGCGCCCAAATCCGACTTTTCGCACGACCTCCTAGCCCGAATGCTGGAGAGTATTAGATTTGAACACCCTATCGTCGACTGATTTCTGTCCCAATGGCATGGAGCCAGGTGACAACGCTGCCCGCGTATTCACTTCCTCCCTCGTCAAAAGCGCCCGGAAGCGCCTTGCTGCACACCTCCCGGACGATCTGAAGCTCGACACTTTCGACATCCTCGCAATGTTTAATCAGGAATCCTCTTTTGGGCGAAGATTGTGTAGAGGATTGCCAAACTTCGTTGACACGCCCTTCACTCAAATTTTGTCGAACTTTCATACAAAGATATCAAGTTCAAAGGATGGCTTCATCAGACCATTCAGCAAGTCTCCATGAAAAAGCTTTTGCACTACAGGCCAGATTGGCAAGGAGGGATCGCGTAAAAATCCATCTAAACGCACGCCTCATACAGAATCCATCAGCAACACTGCTGATCGCCTCGAGAAAGCTCTGAACGGGTCTGGTTTCTGAACTTGGGCTTTCCTATTTATCAGTGTATATATCAGAGTGATTCGGACTGGGCGGAATTCTTACATCGCTACCGATGGCATCTCGCTGACTCGCTAGAGTACAGCAACGGTCTATGTCTCCTTGACAGTTTCGAGAGCACTATCTTTGGGCGTCAAGCACTATTCGAAGGTGTGAGCATAACTACAATTCGGGGACATTTCTAGTAGTAGGCAACGACTGCAATTCAGGAAGAGTAGGCTGTTTCACCTTATATGCTTAGATTCTCCAACGTTAAAGCAGCGCGCTATCGGTTCTGTCCCCGTTGATAAAGAGTCGCTGCGAAGTGTTCTTCGAGCTCCCGTTGACAACTACAATAATAATAGTGCATTCGTGAATATGCTGAACGGGTGGTGGAAACTAGAGTCACTTGAAGACTACGACCCAGAAGCTTTGGAGGAGTGTGAGCCGGACGACCTGATTGATAATAGTTACGATCCCGTCGAAGGATATACCATGAAGGACGTTGGGTGGACGAAGGTTGCTTTGCGTGAACCCGGGCTGCTCGGCTGCTTTCAGATGGGTTCGGACGGTGAGTGGAGGAGACCACATGAGCGTCCTTATGAAATCGTTCCCACATTTAGGCATTCTGTAGTCAGCGATTGAGCCACCATTGAGTACTTCCTTCTTGGACCACTTAGGGAGGGATCTAGCAGCCCATCGGGTGTTTGATGGTGTTTGATGACGTCTGAGTTAATTGCCCGTATACAACATAAATCAGACATTAAATGTATGCCCGTTGGCAGAGGGGAGGGGGTATACAGAAGGGAATGTATATATCGTACGATGTCGGTTGTAATCCCTCCGTCCGAGATACCGAGTATGTTGTCGATCAGGCTGATTCATGAAGATCTAATTGGCTAACCTCGGTATACTGGACCACGCGAGTCTCTTACACAGGTGAAAACAGTTCATAAGCGTTGTATTTAGCATAATATCTCATATGGTATATATATACACACACAAACTTGTGCATCTGCAATGTGAGGTTTCCCCGCCCGAGGCTATATTCCTCGGTCCGCTCGTTTTAACAAGAGGTCTACAATATTGTACTTCACGGCTTGACGGATATTCATCGTCACGAAGAGTATACATTGATAGAAGAATGTATATAAGAGTGCAGTGACTTGGTCTTAGTAGAGACTGTTTCCACCTAGAGATCCACACGACATATACCTACAGAGTTATTCCCACCACCTACTATAGAGATGGCATCACTCCCTATGTCCAGTGTCAAGGATGTTCCGCTATTCAACTCCTTGTTACAAGCCTCACCGTACCAGCAGATACTATACGTGCTCTTCGGGATAGCAACATATCTAGCGTTGATATCTTCGCTGCGTTTCCAACGACGGCAGACACTCCACAAGAAATATAGCTACTACGGAACGAGGCAATCCATGCGCAGCATGACCGATCAAGATGCCTGGGCAATTCAGAAGACAATCATGCAGATCGAGTTTCCCTTTATTGTGCTCAAGTCACTACAGTTTGCCCTCTTCCGTGTATGCGAAGCTCACCCAACTATATGACTGGAAGTTAACATGGGCAGACATATGGCATTCCAACAATATCCACCCTGCTCCTGAAGACATCGCAGTTATCAGACTCTACAACGTCATTCAAACGATATGCCGACACAGGCACACTGATCGGCCAATTCATGGCCTTCGACCCACGCTCCGAGCGAGCGCAGACAGCAATAGCCCGAACCAACTTCCTACACAAGGGCTACCGAGCCAGCGGCAAGATCCTCGAAGCCGACATGTTGTACACATTAAGCCTGTTCGCCCTTGAGCCAATCCGGTTCGTAAGACAATTCGAGTGGCGTGAGATGACTGAAATGGAACGTTGCGCTATCGGGACATTCTGGAAGAGTCTCGGCGATGCGTTAGGCATCAGCTACGACGCTTTGCGTTCTGGAAAGACTGGCTTCCAAGATGGGATTCACTGGTTGGAGGAGATTGGTGCATGGAGCGAGCAATACGAAGTCCAGCACATGAAGCCACACCCTCGCAACAAAGAGATTGCGGAAAGGACCATTGACGTGCTGCTGTACAACGTGCCAAACTTCTTGAAGCCGTTGGGTGGCTACTTCGTGTCATATCTGATGGGAGATAGACTGCGAACAGCAATGATGTATGTATCTTAACTCATGGATCACCACACACAAAATATCTGATGGGCTCGCGTTGTAGGATGAAAGAACCACCAGCATTCTTCAGCGGCATACTTGCCTTGACATTCAAGCTCCGCCAACTATACCTGCGGTACCTATCACTCCCACGCCCGAACTTCATGCGTTTGGACGTGTTCACCGATAAACTGAACGAACACGGCCGCCACTGGGTGTTGATATACGAAGGAGCTCCGTTCTATGTGCAGCCCACAATCTGGAACCGTTGGGGGCCGATGGCGTGGTTTAAGTGGGCTCTCGGACAACCTTTGCCTGGCGATGACGACGACAAGTATTACCCACGGGGCTTTAACACTCATGACCTGGGACCGAAGTGGTTTGAGGGCAAGGGGTACAAGGAATTGGAGGATTTCAAGAAGACCCTCCGTCAGCAGCGGATGGGACAGTGTCCATTTCCATGATGTGGGACTGAGGTGAACCCCGTTGATGATGTTGACCATGGTATAATGAGATTTGTGTTTTCCAAGTGGCGGACTGTGAGAGTAACCATAATAAATTCTGCTCTTTCGTTTCTAGAAGAATCAAGACATGAGATAATGAAGAACACAATATTAAACCAACAGAATCGACATTCTAGCATTGACAAGCGTTCAGGTCAAGTAGGACGCATGAAGACAGAATACAAACACAAGACAATAAATGCACATCGGGTATCTTTCAAAATAGCCAAGAAAAAGCGTTCGAGATGGATGAAACGATCGGGTATATGTAGAGGTCTATCGCTGACCAGTCTGTCTGATGGAAATTATGAACGCAATGGAAGAAAGCTATGAATCCCAGAGTCTCATAGTACAAGGCGTTAAGCCGAAAAGAGTGAAATAATAGCCTGTATCAATCGAAGAAATGAAGGGACGAATTCAGAATGAAAGCCATCAAAAAAAGGGTATTGTGCAAATGTATGAGCAAGAAAGATGAAAAATTGAAGCGTCCCGCCGGGAGACGAGGGCAAGAAATGGGATCATATACTCGGATCAGCAGAAATAGATGGCCTAGGAGATAATGTTCCAATAGATGGCGATTCAACAAATGTCGATTCGGAGGCCTCCACAGGAGAAAAAACGGCGTTATATTCGGTTGAAGCGCTCAAAAGACCACGGCCGCTCTCACCAATTTCACCCAACTCTTCGGGCGCTAGGACTCGGCCACCCAGCTCAACGTCTTGAACGTGGACATTGTAGTCAAGGGCCCGCTGTCCTTCTTTGATGAGTTCTTCGGTCCATCCTAGACAGCGCTTGAGGCTTTGATTCATCTTCTGGCTGTCCAACAGCACCTCCTGATGTCGCGCCAAGTCAAGCATGACGCGTTTCTCGTCATTGACGCGGTGCTTGGCGTCATGCTCGGCCAGCGAGCCCGGACTCAGGATGCTTTCATCCGCAATTGAATCCTCGTCGCTGATGTCGGACATATCATCTTGCGACCGGTTGGAAATCTCATTTTCGCCTTCATCCAGCTCACTAGCTACTGAGAGTGCCGCTCCGGAGAAAGAACGAGCGGAAGGTGCCATTGATATCCGCCCCGAGCGGCTCAGTCGCCGGAACCGCCGAAGCTCCGCCTTTTGTTGCCGCATTTCGCGCTCCAGGGTACGATTGATGGCTAGTAGTGAAGAGTTGCTAATTTCCAAGTCCATGATCTTGCGCTCGGTACGCGCATTGAGAGCTGCTTCGCTCGGACCGTCGGATTTTCCGGGACTGAGCGGTGCAGGAGGGTATGTATCAGTTGAGGCGGTGGATCCATTGCTGAAGATGCGAGGGCGAAGGGTGGGTATCTGCTCCGACATCACGGGCGCTGTCCCTTCACCAAAATAGCCTCCGGATACGATCACTGGGCTTTCTTGCAAGCTATCTTGTAGGTGATTTCCATGGCGGCCCGAGTCAACACTTGAGGACTTGGTATGTCGGATCGGTTGCGGTGTAGGTTTCCCGCCGTTCGTACTGGACGACGGCGAGCCAAGATGCGGAATAATTCCTAGTCCATTCTCAGGGCTTGCGATGTATGGTAACCTGAAATCTTCTGGAGGGTGTGGAGCCACATCTGGAAGGCCGGGCGAACTCAAGCGCGAGGAATGTGTTAGTTTACTAGCCGGCAGGGGGCAAGGAAGACCACCCGATCGGCGTTTGGCAGAAGTAGACGACACATTCGATTGTTCCCCTGGGGATTTCCGCTCTTGCTCTCCGTTCGCATATATGAAGCTCGAGGCTGGGGATATCTTCCCCTGTGCTCTCGGGCGAGGGGCATCTGGCGGCTCAGCAGGATGTGATGACCGTGCATCGGACGCATGAAAGAACAGCGGAGTTCCCGATGTCACGTCTGAGAAAGAATTCGGACGTGATATCGGCTGATTCTCTGCCGTCAAGGTCTTCGCCCTCAGACTTCGCGATTGTTCCGGCTTGACCCCGCGAGCCGGGCTGCGGTCTCGTCGGCCATAACCGATTGTCGACTGGGAGTAAGGTGTATGTGGAGAGGGGGAGGGGACAGGTGATGTATTTGCGGGGGGGTAGATAGTGCCATCTCGCCGAGTGGTTCGAGGACCAGATCGTGGAGTGACGTTGGCGCTTAGAAAGGTCGGGACCGCGGGGGAGTCGTCCTTGGAGGGGGTGGAATAGGGGTGGTCGGGTTGTGCAAGGCGGCGTGGAAATCCTGGACCTGCACCTGGACTTGGACTTGCAACCTTTGGCGTCAAGGGAGTCTTGTTACTCCTATGAAATGCAGCGCTGAGTGTCGGCGTAAACGGTTTGGCGAGACTGCCATTGCTTTGTTTATCGTAGGTCATAGTTGCGGGGGGTGCAGGTTATGGCATTGCGAGGTGCCGCAGGACATGAGCATGATGGCACCGGCCAATACAAAGAATCAGCTGTTCTTTTCCGTCTTAACAGGGAATTTGTGGCCTGATGGAAGGGAAAGTCAAGAAAATCGAAGAGAAAGTCGAGTGACGAAAACAATGCCACCCGATTGGGTTTAGGGCGGCGCTTCACCGCAACGTGGAATTCCTTACTTCAACGAACAAGGGCGTCGAACTATTGATATTGATCTTGGGGAACTTGTGAGACCTCTATTGTCTCTGGGAATTGGTTCTACAACGTGCTCGATTGGCATGTCATTGCCAATACGCCATAGGGAAAAAAACCCCTTAATCCTCCTTGCCCCTAGATATCCCGCTTCTATCCCGAGTCTGGCGGTTGGCAAGTGGAGACTTGAAAAACGGTGAGCCTGCAATAAGACGATAATTGCTGCATTCCGCATTACGCCTGGGGCTGTGGAGAGCAGGAGGTCGGTGCTGTTCTGTCTGGATGACTGACATTGCATGCCATTTCCAGTGAGTCCAGACCTCGTCAAACTTCACGCTGGACCGACGAAGAGGTCTGGGGTAAAAATCATTGGAAAAAAAGCCGCTTCTGTTTTGGGTCCGTTTCGGGAATACCAGCCTGCGATGCCATCTTCCTTTTTCTGGAATTGTGGGGTATCAAAGGTGTTTCTTCTGAGGTATCCTGCACCACTTCGCGGATCGTCTGCCTAGAGAGACAGAAGTCCACATGCTCGTTGAAAATGCGATCATCTGCAATCTGTGGCCGTGTACATATGGGACAGTCCCACATTGGGGGTGCTTCAACGACCTCTGGGTCTGCAGAGGCCTCTGGCCTGCGAGCGACAGAAACAGCAGGTGTTTCTTGACTCAGCTGCTCTAGATCATTCATCTCGTCCTGGATTTCTTGCCGAGCCGCCGCCTCGAAAGCTTCCTCGGCACAAATTTCATGATCTGTATCCACACCAGAGGCCGACACAGGAGTGGGCTCAGTCGCGGGCTTTGGTGTCACTACGCCGAAAAAGTTAATCCCAACTTTCTGAGTGCTGACCAGATTCGAGCAGCGAAGACCGAGGAGCCGTAGCTTCATGTTCGGGATATCCTTCTCAAGCTTGGCGAGCATGGGCAAAGCAAAGTAATACAGATCTTTTGCCAGGGAGACGGCACGAGATGGGGCTGTCTGGCGCGTGAGCACTTCGAAAGTATGCAGCTTGACTTTCAAGGCAAGCGTGCGGCCTTTGAACTGAGTCCGTGCCAGATCCTTTTCAAGCTCCTGTGCAGCCCACCAGAGCTTCGCTCGTAGTTCCTCCTTGTCTCCGATGTCATGAAACGTAGTCTCCGTACTGACACTTTTACGTTCATGTGTCTCAATAGGCTCGATTTTGGTCCTCCCAAGACCGAGGTAGCACTGGGCCAGGAATTGGAAGGCCTTCTCCCCAAATAGCTTGGTCAATAAAGCACGATGTGGGAAGATATCACCACACTTTTTCACGCCTATTGATTCCAGCTCTCGCTCGAACACTCGGCCAATTCCATTGACTTTGCGGACCGAGAGGTCGCGCATGAATTCGATAATTGCCTCACGTTCATTGGGGACTTGAAATTGCCCATTGGGCTTGTTGAGGTTGGAGGCAATCTTTGCGACCTTCGCATTAGCAGCAATTCCGGCTGAAACGGACACCTTGGTTGTCTCCAATATCTCTGCACGCATCCGCCGAACAACTTCATCAGGCTCCAGGTTATTTTCGTTGCAATACGCTGTGATATTCAAATAGGCTTCGTCTATACTCGCACTCTCGAAAAGAGGATCATATTCGGCCATGATAGCGCGGACTTCCTTGGCCTTTGCGGTGTATTTGTCGTAGTTCTGCGGCAAAAGAACCAACTGCGGGCAGAGCTTCTTCGCGACAAACGAAGCCATGCCACTTCTAACGCCGAACTTCCTCGCGAGATAGTTGCAGGTTGTCAAGACTCCTTTACCGACCGCCATAGGGACTGTCTTCAACTCCGGCCGGTCAAGCTCCTCGACGGCGGCAAAGAACGCGTCACAATCCACATGAATGACATGTTGAGAAAGATCACGGCTCAATTCTAGCTCAGCGAGGTATTCATCGGCACGTCGTAGCTCACTGTTCAAGTCTAGACGTTCCAGCCGTGCCTTTTCTTTTACGATTCGCTCGGTTTTCAACGTGAGGTTTCGATCCCGCTCTTGTTCATGATTAAAGAACTTAGAGCCCTTGGAGGCATTGTAGATAATCTCCGATACCTGAGAACTAGAGTTCAGCTATAGCTCAATGTAGATACAATCATCGAGCGCACCTTTTGCTGATCGACTGAGTCTTGGCCCGCTTTGGTTAAAGAGGGACCGAGTAGCTGATATTTCAGAGTGCCAAATTCCTCATCAGGAGCCGATTCAGGCTGTGGATCGCTGGCAGGATTCTCACCTGAGCACTCCATGTTTTCCAGCGTCCCATCGATGGCTGATGAGAAGAGGCGAGAGCGCGGAAGCCACTTTGACGCGGAGTCACGTGGACACGCGTTTCAATTTGCGCGGAGCCTCAAGTACGTAACCTCCCGCTGAACAATAATCACCGTCGGATTTGTCGTCATGTGGATTCTTGATTCGACCGGTGATTTTCTGGAAGGTGAGATATTTGATTGAAAAGGATCCACCGGCTGCTAAAACCTCATAGGGAAGCGCGTGTGGCTGCGCCCTGGAAAGAAGTATCTCTTCGGTCGATTCTATCGGGACGGAGGTATGGCCTGCTTCATTTGGAGGATCACACAGTTGGACTGACCACTTAATGAATAGTCCGCCATGCTGTCAATCACAACTCGATATCCCGCAAGCATATGACCATTGAAATCTCACCAGTCAATCCGAGAGATGGCGTACGGTTGACCCCGCGATTATACGCATTCTCCGGCGCTAATTCCAGTCCAGTTATCACCACGAGCGCGATCCAACATCACTATAACCGACTTAGACTCGAAGAAAGGAACAGTTGTTGACGAAGAGAGAATCCAAGGAGAATACAAGTTGGAGAAGAGCGATGAGCATTTCATCCAGCTCGCGAAATACCAGCATGCGCTCCGGTGCGTATGTCTGCTTATCATAGGCTTGAATCCCAGCTGATGATCTTGATAGAATCAAATGGGAACCAGTGGTTCTAACCTTGTCGGCCTCCTCCAAGCAGGTGCGAGGTGAAGACCCTCTAGCTCATGTTCGCTCGCGTCTAGAAGACCTCGACATTAAGACAGTCATGGATTATATTGTCGATCACACCACACATGTGGTACAGCGCAAACGAAATACAGCCAAGGGTCTTCAGGCACTAGTCAACGGGAAGTACATAGTAGATGATTCATATATCGACGCACTCGTCTACGCGGCTACCCCCGGTGATCTCGAGAACGTCGAGTCACTCTGTCCTCTCGAAACCGACTTCGAATTCGCGTGGCCCGATCCAAATGAACACCTCCCGCCTCCCGGACAAGAGCCAACCCAGCGTCCTGCCGCTGCTTTCGCTCCAAGTTCCGCACGTCTTAATGTCTTCGAGGGATATACGTTCATCTTCGGTGATCCAGCCCAGTTTGAAAATCTCCAAGGTCCAATCAACAATGGCCAAGGAAAGGCGCTTTTCTATGAAATTGAGGACGGGGTCACAACTGCCGCAGATATCGTTCGGTTCATGAAAAAAGCCGCAGGATGGAAAGGAGTGGGCAGCGAGCGGCATGGTTCCGGTGGTGTCGTTCTTGTTCGCTTTCGATCAAAAGGAGACCTCGAACAATGGTCCATTGACGTCGGTAATGAAGTTGCTCTAATGACCGACCAGCGTGTGATAGAGCAACGAGAGTTCCTCGACGCTATCCTGAGAAATGATGCATCACCCCTCTGTCGTCCCTTGCCTACGGAGGAGGGCTCTAGTCAGATCTCCACATCTGCACCAGCGGTAGAGGCTGAACAAACAAGCCAAAGAGCAACCTCGGTCGTGTCCGAATCGGTATCGCCCCCTGATCCTGAGCCTAGCCAGCGCTCGACAACTCGGGCCAAAAATCCCCGCGTGCGTGCTTACGTGAGTAAAATGAAAACCTTCGACGATGGATTCGACATGGAATCTGTCCCAGTGTATGCGCCCGAAGAACAAGACACCACCATAATCAGCTCCACTCAGACCATAGATGTCGAAACTCAAGCGCCGTCACAAGCGATGCAGCCCCTAGATACAGTAAAGGAAGAGTCAGAGGAGGATACCGTCACTGACCTTCTCCCGGGCGCCCGTGCAATGAAGCGTCGTCGTGCAGAGATGACTCGCCATCCCCCAGAGGGAGAGGCCGCAGCCCCTGAATCCGAAGCCCCCAAACCCAAGCGACCTAAACTTGACGTGCTCGAAGCCGCCCGGAAGCACCGAGAATATGAAGAGCAACACCGCAAGGCCGACGAAGCCTCACATCCAGCCGACTTTGGTGACGTGGATGTAGACCAGTTGAAGAACCTGGCCATTGTGGAAGAAATGGAGATTCCCGTCCGGAATGCACCAGCGCGCGAGGATGAAAGCTTGGACCGATGGAACGATCAATGGAATGGGCGCAAGAACTTCAAGAAATTTCGGCGAAAAGGCGAGCCGCGTAGTCGAGCTCGCATTCAGACGGTAATCGTTCCTCTGGAAGAAGTGACCCGCAAAGGCTATGGAATCGGCGATCACTATTGGGGTGGCAATTCCGCCGAGACGAACTCTGGAATCGAGCCTGAACGTCTGGACACTGAGGATCATCGCGATGAAGTCGCCCCATCACGCTCCGAGCTGTCAGCAACTGCACGCACCTCGCCTGAACCGACCCCAGACCCAACTCCGGCTCGGCGCCCGAAGAGGGCTCGTGAGGAGCGCGATTCAGATAGCGATGATGGACTTCGTTTCCGTTTCAGGCGTAAGCGTTAGCTCCCACCTTTGTTTTTCTTTGCAACGGTTTTGTAGCGTCTATTCTGTATCGATACCCTCCTATTCTTTTGCTGATCTGTGCTTTATGTATGTCTGTAAGCATATTGACCGAGCTGGATCATCACAGTAGCTATAGATTATCGCTGTGGCTTTTCTCTGCATATAGTTAATAACTATGACCGACATCCATGGATACACGATCTACAACATGACATAGTTGTAAATCAGTAAAAACATGTATAATGTAAGCTCCAATCATCCATTCTGATTCCATTTATATTATTTTATTAATCACAGCGCTCATTATCGTTCTTCAAATTCCCAATATCAAGTTTCCAAATAGTCAAAAGTCCGTGTCGCGCAACGTCTCTCCTCTTTACTTTCTAGCCTCCTCCATATATCGTCAATTTCTTCTTCTACTGATACACTTTGCATTTCTTTTCTTCTTTAGTAGGTTCTCTGTTTCTTTTCATCTTCTTCTCATCTCTTCACTTTCGACCGGGCTTATCTCTCTCTCCGCCAATCCCCTTCCAATCCACCTCATCAAGCTGCCCAACAGCCTGATCGGTGACCCCCTCTCTTCCCGTAATTTATTTCTTTCCTTTACGAATGTCATCCGCTGAGATCTCCTGTCTGTAGCAAGACCCGAACATTGGGCCGGTGCGACAGTGGTCAACCACAACTGTGAGGTGGTATATGCATAGCCCCGGCATGACCTGTTTGCTTACTGACGTATTCCGAACTCTAGCTATCAGCTTGCAGTTTTCTCTTCCAACAAGAGCAAGTCGCGTAAACGACCTCTTACTCTTCCAATCTCTCTCATCCTCATCCCTACCGCCCCTTATGATCTCCGCAATTCCTCCTCCCCGGCCGGCGTTGGTCAATTCGATAGCCAGTACACACGTCGCAGGTCCGGCAAGTGCAGGGAAACCAAACTGCAGCGTCAACGAAAATATCTTACGCGATATCTGTGAAAACCGCACAAGCAGCCCTATCCCCGCCAGTGAGGACCAATCTCGTCTCCCCGTAGAAGTCCTCACATCTATCTCAGCCCCGGCCCAGGCGGGAATCCGATTCGTCGACCTCCCAATTGAGATCCATGAAATTATTCTGGATCATATCTTTGGCAAAAGAGCTTCGGCTGGTAAGCACACAGCATATGGTGAATCTTCTGCTCAGAACTGGAGCAAGGCTCTCCATCATCCCCGGAGGAAGGCCCTTGCCAACCTGGCCTTGACTTGCCGGGTCTGGACTGGACTTGTTCAATGCCGAATTTACCGCCATAGTGAGTTTCATCTGACTGTGAATCTAAATTTCAAATTGTACTGGCAACTGACTTTTCACATAGTCAGAATCAAGGGCAGCAGAGATGAATTGGCCAACTGTGCGCGGTGGTTCACGAGGAACCCCCATTTGACTCCTTACGTCTGCCATATTGAGGTTTGGATGCCTATCTGGGGAGATCGGGCTCTTTCGCCTAACGTTCCTTGCTCGAATGCGGAGCAACATGCCGCTCAGCCAGCCACAGGACGTGTCGTACCCATGCCGTGGAATCATCATCATAATCAGGGAGATAAAATTTTCTATTATCAACGTCCAACCAACAACGCTTCATTGGAGGAAATCTTCGGTCTTATTCAGTGCTTTTTCCCCGCTGCTCGAGTTCTCACACTTGAGGGTGGCCACTGCAAGAACCCGCCTATGATTCGACATTTCCGCCATAGTCGTGTCATGTACAGTCTGCAGGCCCTCATCCAACGGCGTCTACCTATTCTTGATCATATACAGACATTTATCATGCGTGGTGCCTGGAACCTGATGCGAGAACTTGAAGACTGGCACAACATTTCACAGGCGTTGCCAGCTTTGAGCGAATGGCATTGCGCTTGGGCCCAACCCCATCTGAATGCCTACTTCATCATGATACACATCTTGGTCCACCCTCCAGTTACAATCCGACATATCAATCTCAGCCTGGAGGGGTTTTACAACAACAGTGATGGTTTGCTAGCTGGGCTATCTGGACCTCGAAGCTCGCTTCCTCCAATCTGCAGTTTGCTTGGCGAAACAGCTCCGCGGTTAGAGTCATTTACCTACACTGGCCGTGTGTGTTGGTTCTTTTTTGAGACATTGAAACAAGGGGCAACAGCAATGGGTTCTCATTCTCGGCTCAGGTCACTAGATCTTGTAGTCAAGGCGTGCTGTCACAATAAGCAGGTAGACAAATCGCATCACTGGTCGCAGATGAGTCCAGGGATAGGGGGAATTACCAGCATTGCGTTCATTCGCGCCTTCGAGGCAATGGTGGTCAAGGCAATCGAGTGTCTATCCGTACTTCCTGCCCTGGAGTACTTACGGGTCCGTTTCGTCGACCTCGACTCAAGCTGTCCACCTCTGAACCCTTATTTCCAACTTGTGGATAACGAGTGCACAGGCCTGTGGAGTGAAGACATCCTGGAAGCTTTGCGCATGAACCGACCATCTGCCTCATTTATCGCGCTTACAGATGGAATAGCCGCAGAGTACAATGACCAGCAAATTGTGGGCGCCTTGATACCCCGAGTTCGGCCCCTGGGAATCCAAGTAAACACGTACAGCCTTCTTGCCGACAGTTCCAACCCTTACTAGGCTCACAGTTTGCCTTAACCTTTCTCGATCGCTTAGACCTAATTTTCGTCCTTCCCTCTTGTCATCAGCACAATACCCCGTCATCGTTTCCGTCTTGCCAGCGAATTTCTTGTTCGGCCCAAGACTTGCCCTTTCCTTTGTCATATCACGTCGGTGGATATCATTTTAGGGCATACCTGGGCTGCTGTGTGCCGTTAGTCATGGTCATACTCATGTTTCTTTATTTTTTTTCCCTTTATTTTTTTTCCTGTTAACATGTCAGGCTACGCAATCGCCTGAGGAGCTGCGAACTTCTTCGATTCAGAGAAGTGGCAGAAACTGGCAGTGCCGACCTCCTTGTCGCCCTGCTTCTCTGTTTGCGGCTTACCGTCTTCAAGAGAGCAAGTTGCTGTTTGTGTACAAGAGGAATCGGAGAATCATGGCCATATGGGCCCATCGGACATGTCCGATGGGTTTGCTTGTATGTACCTACATTTGTAGGTATTGTATGTAGTTCAATGTCGTCCTGACTGATCATTGTTGCTTTTCAAGGTTCATCTAAAATCTGTACCTATGTATGGACACATCTCTATTAAATACATGTACTTCGTCTCTCATTTTTGTGCAACTGTGATCTCGCCAGAACCATCCCCTCCGTCCTGAACGATGATACCTAGGATCCAGACATTCACGGCGAAGAAGAAGAGCCCTGCTAGGAACAACCCTGGTACGAAAGATGGCAGTCCCAGGAATTCGAGATTGTAACCTTGGTGCAGCCAGAGGGCCTATATAGTTTGTTAAAGTTGAAGTCCCAAGTGAAATCTGTGGTATCAGAGGATCAGTAGACAATACATACCTGTCCAACAATCCATAGTATAGTAGCTGAAACGCCCAGAGTCGGTTTGCGGATGAGCGAGGAAGAGGGTAGATAAAACGGAAGGAGGATTAGATACCAGAGGAAATACTAGACATGTTAGCTGTGAGTATGACCATTCTCAGGTGAAATTACATACCTGACTGGTACAGACTTTGTTGAAACTGACAAAGGTAAAGGTCTGCGCGAGCATCGCAGTGGTCAAGCTCTTCTTTGCCAGAACGAGGGGCACAGCAACAACCACCAGGATTAGCTGCGGAAGGAAGGCCAGTGCCTCAAAGCGAGTTTCAGCCCCACCGGCAGCAGATAGATAAAGCAGCGTACTGTAAGGAGAGAAATTATGGCGGTGATCGATGCGAGTAAGATGGTGGAAGAATGTGTGATGGAGGAATGGTTGGCCGTACTGGATGTACATGACGAGATTCAAGGCCACGAAACTAGCCAGTGCTGCGGCAGTAAACTTCACCCGCGATGGAGTAACGAATCCCAAAGCCTTTGACAGCAGACCTGAGCCAGCCATTGCAAGCCCATCGCGCTCGGCATCCCACCACCAAAGAATGGAGACACCATAGATGAACGGATAAATTTTAAAATGCACGGCAAGACCCAGGATAAACCCAGCAAGGATAGACCTCTTCGTTAGAGTTGCCCATAAAAGCGCTGCAACAAGCACGCCGAGCAGCCCTTCCGAACTACCACGGGTACTGATATTGGCAACCATGGGATTCCACAGCCAAACAGCAGCAACATACCGCAGCGCGCGCTCGACCGGAAAGCGATAGCATCGGACAAGCAGCTGGACAACGAGCCATCCGGCTAAGACATCAGATAATGCAAAAAGCACCTTTCCAAAAGCGAAAGTCAGTGTTGACCAAGGCGCGGCACCCTCCCAGGCAGTCGGGAGAAGCATCCAGGCCAAGAGCGGCGTATAGCGGTAAGTATCACGAGCATAGGGCGACTCGCCTTTTGCAACGTAACGAGCAGCATCGGTGAACACCATGTAGTCGATGTCGGTGTATTTCACGGCGGAGTGCGCGTCCTGCCAGCCTCCATAGGCGAGGAGGATGAGGCGGAGGGCTGTTGCGGCGAGGAACACTCGCGCTGGAGAGCCAAAGAGAGTCATTCTCTTATCTTGGACTTTTTTCTTTCCTTTTTTCCCTTTATAATAACCAATTGAAGAGATTAAAGGTTGCTAGACTGTCTGTTGCGAGGCCTGTCGGCCCCAGTCGCTGACTCAGCATGGTCCGTCCACCCGAGATTGCCTAATCGGTATGGGAAGTATATAACCTTGGAAGTATACCTCCGCTAGGTATTAAAGGACCCTTGACACTAGAAAGCTGCTATAACTAGTTAGTCCATTTATATGCTTATTTAAAATTGGAAGTTTGATATAGTATATGTCTCTTTGATTTCATGGCGTCCCCCACAGTTGTAAACTGGCCCCTATACCCCTTCATGTACATAGCGAGGTTGGGTATTCAGGCAGATATAAGGTGTACATGTATCGGGAATATGCCATGTAGCCGAACAAAATCACTGCTCGCCCGAGGTCTTAATTCACAAAACAAGGAAGATCCACAGATCCACATTAGTGCTTGAAAATGCGGGGGCAGTGGCCATGAAATTGCGGGGATTTCAACGTCTCTGCACTACTTCGTACTCTATACGATATACGTCGAACACTAAATCATGTGATGTCACAATCTTTGGCAATTCAAGGACTTGAAGATGGTCTGAGCCAGTCATATCGGATGTTTTGATGTCCTGGCTAATGTACATCAATGCAACTGGTACGCCACTAAGAAGGGTTACTGGCTAAGTTTAGTAAAACCCTGAGACATTCCGTCAGGTCCCTGTTTCTCTAAATTGGTGGACATAAATGCCGACAGAAGGGTTCATGTGAAAAGTAGACAGCCCGAGGGATTTTCATGCTTCGAGTACGGAGTCATACGTTCCTATCCAGGACCATGTATTGCCGTTTCAACTATCAGGCATCGGCTAAATGTCTCGAAATTGAGACTTCTTAATGGTAACTATCGATACCGTCATTATAGCAACAGAAACGAGGAGTCTGAGGAAACCTGGATATAAACGCTCGAGTTGATGGTACTTCAGGGTCACTTTTCGTGATGTGGATATCCCCACATCTATATATAAATCGAGAAGCAAGTTCGATTATACTATGTAAGCTGAACATGAGCCACACCAAGGAACTCGGAATAAGTCCATTGACGATAAGACATGTCCAGCGTAATCAATAGGTTATGCGCACCCCAGCCAAGTAAGGCAAATTATTACAGCTCGGACCTGTATCACTTAAACCGCTTGCGTAAGAAGCCTTTGTCTTCTTTTGGAATCTGACCGGCCAAATTGGGACAACTTGGTCTGATAGGTTAGAAATCGTCAGAGTATGTGGTCTACTTTTATACTACAAGAAAGATGACGGACTAGTTATGAATCTCCTCTGCACCTGGCTAGTCTTGACAGAGATAAACCCAGTTCATTAGGCAGAGATATACTGGAGATTTATCCATGTTATCTATGTACTTTATATACGACGGTATAATAGCGCAAGGAGATGGTGATCCCCCGCAAAAGAAAAAAACTTTGGAAGCTATATTACAAACTTAATCTCCCGGTCCGCGGTATCTTTTCATAGACATATGATAATTCCATAAGGGTTTGGTGTTTATATAAATAGATCGTGTATCCTCGTCTCCATTGAAGGCACTTCATCATGGCTTTGGGCATGGGAAAGTACATTATCGGGGGCAATCGAGGGCTTCTCAACCCAGAGTCCGACGAGTCTGGAAAGCTTGAGAAGGTCGGATCCTCACTGAGCTCGACCTCGAAAAAGGATAGATTCCGGCGGCATTGCAGACGATTCTGGTGCATCTACCTCATCGGCAATGTGATCTTCTTGGCTATTTTCTTACCTGTTTTGTAAGTCAGAGTATTCTTTTGCTTATTCTCCTGGTTATTATTAAACTAATGTTGCCAAACAAGCTTTCTGGTTGCTATTCCTGCCATCGCGCAACTTGTTGTCAACAAATCGGATCTACGAATCGTCAAGGCCGAAGTAATGCACCCAACAGCAGATACAGTACGAATGACCTTAGAAGCGAAGGTAAACTTGAAGATCGCACTGGGCGTTCGACTCGATCCAGTTGTCTTCTACACCTTCGTGCGCTCGGCTGGTCATGAGGATGCATATGCAGGAATTGAGATACCCGGGCAAACTATCAAGGGCAATTATTCACTCGGAGTCACAGACCAGTTGACACCAATCCTCAATATGACTTCCTGGGAAACCTTTGTGAGCCAGACTGTCTTCCAAAAGGAAACAGCACTATCACTATATGGAGTGACCACTGGATATCTCGGGGTCCTGAAAAACCATATCGTATTGGATAAAGATGTGGTGATACCGAGTGAGTACTTTACTATCGTGGACTTCCATCTCTAATCTCCGAAATAGCTTTAAACAAGTTCGAAGGCTTCTCCATCGCAAATAGCACATTCCTCTTACCAGCAGAGGAGGACGGATCCAACCTCGTTGCTAATCTTACACTTCCAAACCCCTCGGCACTCAGCTTCGAGGTTGGCACTATCACACTTGACCTCAAAAGTGGCAATACAGACCTAGTCATCGGCAAAGCAACGGTTGAAGACGTCACTCTCAGACCGGGCAACAACACATTCCCGTTGAGAGGTGTGGTCGACATCGGTACGATAGTCAGTAACCTCACCGAAGTTGTCAGCTCACAGGGCTCCGCCATCAGGAGAGGTACACTGAGCCTGACGGCTGTGACCAGGTCAATTGTATCCAACGGCACTCTAGTCCCGTACTATACAAAGGTCCTCGGGTCACTCCGCCTGGTGGCAAACGTGAGCATTGGAGATGTGCTCAGAAACTCACTCGCTCACATAGGCTCGAGTGGACTATTGTCAGACTCCGATGACAAACGCAGGAGAGGCCCGGTGCAGTTGGACGGCCCAGTTGGATACGGTGACTCGTATAACCAGGTCGCAGGTCTGAAACACAACAGACACGTTCAGAAGATGTTCGAGGATGAAGATCCGGAACGACGAGACGCAATGATAAATTCACTGGCTCGATATTATGCCTCACTATGGATGTATGACT